CAACAATGCACGAATTCTAAATTTCCAGATACTGTATTTTTCACCATTAAAAGGTTTTATATTTCTTCTATTCTTCATGTTTTCCATTATAAAAAAATATTGAAAAAGAGGGTAAATTAATTTTTAACGGAACGGAACTATTTCTAGTAATAAATTAATTTAATCACGTTATCTGGGCCCATAACCTATAGGAAATAGGGCTTTATAATTGAGACAACTGAACACTATAATCACTTATATATTTATCTTTTATTTTAATACTAGGAAGCCAATATGCGTCCGCTCTTTACAGTGTACAAAACAAGAGTGAGGGACCGTCTTACAGTGGTTATAAAGAAAACTAGGTCAACCTCAATATAAATATATATGTAGGTAGATATAATTCTATTAAGTCACTCAATCAGTTGAGATGTTAATTTTTGCATTTTAATACAATTAAATCAACATATAGACTTTTATTAAATGCCAAGCTGCCAATATCAAGTTATCTCAAAGAACTCAAAGAAATTTCTTAATTAAGATAGTATTATAATATATATATAGATAGTATAACATATATAGATAGTCTTTATAAAAGCAAATGGCCGTCTTAAGAAAGGTACAGTAAATTCTCCATTCAAAATAGGTATCTAAATATATATAACTCAAAGGTGACTGACGTAGTGATCTATCAACGCACAGCCCAAACCACTGGACGGATCGGGCTGAAATTTGGCATGCAGGTAGATGTTATAACGTAGGCATCCGTTAAGAAAGGATTTTGATTAATTCTACCCCCAAGGGGATAAAATAGGGGATGAAAGTTTGTATGAAACTTTGTCAATTTTAAACCGATCGGGCTGAGACTTTGCATGCATAAAGCTACCATGACGTAGGCATTTTCTATGAAAGGATTTTGATACCACCCCTAAGGGGATATTATCGCGAGCGAAGCCACGTGCAAAAGCTAGTTGAAAATATTTCTTCATAATTTTCAATTAAACTGATTTCGAATTTATATTCCTATTACCACAGACTATCGGATTAATTTTTGTTTTGATATAAGTGTTTTATATTGAGACAAAGAATTAATACCGAGCAGAATTGAACTTACGACCTCTTGATTGTAATTCAGGACAGTAAATCATTAGGCTTCAATGTTTTCCTCAAAAATAATATTCTGTTATTATGTTACAAATTCAGAGTCAGTCAGCCAATAATTATTTAGCGATCACGGCAGGTGGCGACAAGATTTTCTGTATTTATAAAAAGCATATTTTAACCAGCTCGTTGTTATAAATAGTTCGATGCAATCATGCAATATGCAATATTTTTATGCCCTGTTTCTTTATTTTTATTTATAACTCCTTATTGCACCTTATATAAATACAAAACGAAGCAATATTCCTAGTATATAGGTAGGTACGTACTAGGGACAAAGGGCGATCTTATTGATTAAGCGATTTCTACCAGACAACCTTTGGGTAGAGGAGAAAAGACAGTTGGATAGTATATAAATACATATATTATACATAATATACATATAAAATAAAATATATAATGTAAAATTAAAGAAATAAATTAGTAATAATACACTATAACTATGCAATAGAAAGAAGAATAGAATAGAAAATCATTTATTCAAATAAACTTACATTGAAGCACTTTTGAATAGTCATCACATTTTTATTTATATGCAATTAAGATTTATATTGGTATATCATCGTAGAGATTATAGAAAGAACCTCTAGGTTTGGGAAGTAAATTTGTATATAAATGATAATAATAATATCTCAGGACATTTCACACAGCGCCATCTAGTCCTAAGCTAAGCAGAGCTTGTGTTATACTAGACAACTGACATAAATACAAGTATACATTTTTTTTTGTAAATAAATACATATTATACATAGAAAACATCCAGACCGATACAAACAATCATACTCATGAATACAAACGTTTGTACCGTGCGAGAAATCGAAGCAACGACCATCGGATAGTAAAGCGGTGTGCTAAACCACTAGACCACCGACGCTGTCTAGTGTCTATAAATACAATACAACCTTAATATTTATAACCTCTATTGAAACTCTCCACGTATTTGTGATGCATCGGTGATACATCAATATTAGTCTAACTGAGAGTCAACCTGAATATCATGCGTGTAAAGATTTTAACGAGATCTATTTAGTATACCTCAACATAATAACATATTTAGGTCCAACGAAGCCTGTTTATCAGCAACTGAAAACCATTGAACAGCTTATCTATTCATGAGGCATAAACGTGAATATTTTATACCTCTAGAACTGTGGTGTAAGTAATAACATGCAATATGACTTGCGAACCAATTCATAAGATTTGGGATCTTTTCATTCGGTTACTGAATGAGCCGCGGCTATTACTTACTTTTTATCCATATCCATACAAACTGAAATCTCTTTTAGCTGCTCTTCTATTCATAAAATGTATGACGAATAAATTATTTGCGATCACAACGTTTTTCGTTCAATAAATTGTCATAAATAACGGATGTCTGATAATTTTACTGAACGAGAAAGTAATGTTATAGAAAATAATATATATTACTAGCTGTCCCGGTAAACATTGTTTTGCCATATAAATTAATAACGCTATAAAAAAAAATAGGCGTTGATGATAGAAGGGTGAAAATTTAGGATGGTATGTATTTTTGTATGTTGTATCATAAAAAATTAGAAACTAAAAATTTAGGAGTGGACTACCCCTAACATTTAGGGGGATGAAAAATAGATATTGGCCGCTTCTCAGACCTACTCAATACGCTCACAAAATTTCATAAGAATCGGTCAAGCCGTTTCGGAGGAGTATGGGAACGAAAACTGTGACACGAGAATTTTATATATAAGATGATTAGCTGTCGTTTGTATTCACATATTTTAGAGAATATATAAGTTTGTAGCTCGTTCTTCTATTGATGAGACAGAATTAGTGGTAGATAAAAAAGAAATATGTATGACTATTCAACAGTGCTTCAATTTTAGTTCATTTCAATAAATAATTTTCTATTCTAATCCAAACTGTACTGCAGATTAATACCAGCTGCTGAGTTTCACCACCGTACCAACAGCTAGAAACTAAAATACCATCCTGATCATCTGGGTGAATGGCGGTCCTCCACAGTGCGGTTTTCTAGAAACTTTTTGCCACGCACAACCACATTTTTTTTTATATATTTAAATACATTTTTCCACAGATATATTCGTCCGTGCCTTTTTTAATTTACTTTAATATTATAATATTTATTTAATTTCCACTTTTGTGCAACTCCAACCGAGATGTTACAATTTGCCTAACAGTGACACCGAGGCAGACCTTATCCGCCTGGCCCAGAACCACCGCTGGCCGGCCGGGTGAGTTGACAACATGCAGTTTCACCCATCTTTATTTGGAGGATTAGATTTACCAATATGCATATACATGCACAACCACATTGTGGAATCACCTTCCAGCAATGGTGTTTCCGAACCAATACGATATTGAAACCTTCAAGAAAAGAGCTTATTCCTATTTAATAAGCCGACAACGCACTTTCCCCTTTATTCCCCTGAGGTTGCGAGTGCTCATGGGCAGCGGTAATCACTTACCATCAGGTGAGCCGCATGCTCGTTTGTCCCCTGCGCTGTAAAAAAGAAACAGAGTTAGGCCACTAGTATTGGCATATTTGAAATGTTACTTCATGATAAATTATACTAAAATTAAGGCACTACATATTTTATAGGCCCAAGTTTAAATCGAAAGCAATTAACTTCAAATCAGTGATATCTGGGCCGATACAGTTGCTTACGTATTCACAGATTTATTCATCTGAGGGGCTACTTTCAAAAGCTACTGAGATTGGATTGGGATTGGGAAATAAAGTATTCAACTTCTCGAACGTGTATCGACCCATCTTCATATATATATACTGGTAGCTATAATTTTACAAGCGAAACAATTTAGTGTACCCCAGGGCGCTATAATAGGACCGTTGCTAGTACTAAAACTGCAATTACGTCTGCATTATTAATAGATTCAATAATTTAAATATGACTTAGTGCAATGTAAGTAGCATTGTTATTTTACACTGTAGGTTTGTCTTTTCCTACCCGTGCCTATCATCCGCTTTCTATTTTAACCCATTGATTAGCTGGTGTTGAAATGAAATGAAAATGCCACATGGAGTTATGGTTGCCAATTTTTATCTTTTCGATGGTCTAGCGGCTAACCGCCTTCTCACTTTCTATTGTCGTGGGTTCGATTCCTATCACGATATATTTAATCAGGGTGTATTCTATATATGTTATGTATTTAGTTATAAAATAATGTATTTAAGTATTTCTTTCAGTTGCAGCACATATAACAGAAGCTCTCCTTAGCTTTGGGACTAACTGCCGCTCTGTAATATTTCTTAGGGTTTTTTTATATGAGCATTATGGGATTTATATGTAATATTTTCATATATATTTATCATATATATGTCAGGGATATCGACATGCAGAAGTTTATTACTGTTATAATTTTTTCTCATACACGCTACTTTCGGAGACTCTTGACATCTCCCAATACTAATTAACTTTTTTTAATTTGAAAATGTTAAGAAATAAACTCAAACTCTAGTCACTGAACAGACTTTTTAACATTATATATTTGCTTTTACCTGACGTTGTCGTAATTGAATTTTCTCTATTCCACATTATAATATATAATATTAATCTAGGTAACCTTAAAACGCAGTAACTTACTGGGACTCATCAGTGAAAATGCAGCATCCACTGCAAGGGTTGAACGACCGCACGCATGCGCTGTCCTCCCTTCTTTTTCGGGCTAAATAGCCAACGAGCTGTCTTAGTGCGCATTCATTCCGTCTAACTGCGATCAAATTTCGATCTTACTATGTAACGAACTGGATCCTATCCGTGGTACGGTAGCGGCGGGTGGCTGTGTACTAAAGCCAGTGCCTCGCCAGTCGCCGCGAGCTTTGCGCGTCGCGTTCAAAGTTAGCCAGCGACTTCATTCCTCGTCCGACAAAAGTTTCGAACTTTCCGACGGCGTTCTGGAATCGCATGTGAATTTATAGGATGCTGTTCTGTTGTTTTATTACTGAAACATTAACGGTATAGTGCGTACGGATTTGTGAACTGCCATTGTTGAGGAAAATATTATTTTTGGAGAAATGAAAAGGTATATAAACTATTTTTTAAATTAAAATAAAAATTAAAATAAATATATTACACTTGAACAGTTCTATATTAATTTATGCTTGTATTAATATTAAATTAATATATATATACGGTATTTATCTATTGATATTATAAATCTGAAAATATAATAATAATAATAATAATAATTCTTTATTGGAACTAATAAATATAATATGTTACAAAGTAGGATAGTGTAACGATAACACACCACATAGTAAATAATACACATTAATAAATAATATTTAATTGAAGTATATATGTACTGAAAAATTATTATTATTATATGTCTTAATATATTTATAATACTTACAAGAGTATAATGGATTTTTTGGACATTTCATAAACATAAATAAGATTATCATATTTAATAGAATTATTAGAATATTTAACACCTAAACTACTTTTTATTCTAACTTAACTGGACTATCGTCGTCTAACAGTTAGTTACCTATGAGCAGTCTTTAATAATGTGGAATCCTTGTATTTAACTTCTCAGTAACAGGTTAATGAATCTTTTAATTAATTACAGTTCAAGATAATTATAAGAGTTACAATCTCTGTCCGCAAGATATTAAACTTAACAATAACTTTGTGTGATGCTGACAGGGAAACTTATTTAACCTTGTCGTAACTTAGTTTGGGGCCTTTAATTAAATTAATACTCAAACTAATTAAAAAACTGTTCAGTTCAATTTATAACGTCATTTTAAAATGTTAATTTTTATTAAATACTAGCTGCACCCGCGCCTTCGTCCGCGTGGAATTTAATACTATTTTTCTAAAATAAAAGTAGCCTAAGTTACTCCCTATTACATTAGCTACCTGCCAAGAAAAGTCCCGTTAAAATCGGTTCAGCCGTTTCAGAGATTAGCCAGAACAAACAGAACGACAGACAGACGGATAAAAATTTTTAAAATTTTTTTTTTGGTATATGTTCCGTATTTATATTCATATGCATGCAGTAAAAAACGGTTCTTTCAATATTACATACAGACACTCCAATTTTATTTATATGTATAGATAATAACTTACTTACTACTTTACTTAATAATAACTAAACATTTTTATAAACAAAATATTTTTATATTTTAATATTAGCTAACTGATTTAAATATAAGTTTGTAAGCTTATATTTAGTTATGGTAATTTTTATATTAATTTCGAAAAGAAACATGATATATTAATAAATATGCAGTAATAATAATAATAATAATTATCTGTAATAATAATTGGATGCGAATAAGTAATCTACATTAACATTATAAAGAGGGAAGATTTGTATTTTTGTGTTTTAATGTGACTTATGTTTGTAATGAATAAACTCAAACGATTTTTGAAACTTTGGCGATTTTCAGAATTCTTTCATCATTAAAAAGCTACATTCACCCTGAGTAACATAGCTTATATTTATTGCTGGAAAATATTTGGGATCCTTACCAAAACTTTAGTAACGTAACTAAAGACGTAAAAAAACATGCTAAATAATCTTTCTTCGCGTGCGCTGCGGAAACTATTGGTGATAGAACAAAAATACGTTCTACAATATTGAAGAATATATCAATAACTACAAAAAACTTTGTGGTACTATGTGTCCAACTATTATCGTTAAATATATATATATATATATAATAAACCTTACTAAAATATAAACCTTAGTCAATTTAATTAGGTAGGATATGATAAAAATATTAAATGTTGTAAAAATGTCAACCCGTGCGAAGCCAGGACGTGTTTAATAGTGTACAGTAGTGGTTAATAAACCAGAAATAAAACTAATCTCTTATATATAGGCTGTACCTGGTTAATCAGAAATATATTCTTTATTCTAAAATTATATTAATGTTTATGAACTATAAATTTTATATACTTTATTTCTGTCTTGTCGATAGTTTCCCAACATATCTACGTATTTCAAGTCTTTTTCTATAGTTTCCATTTTACCTGTACACATATAAAATAAAATTACAATAGTATATAATAAAAGATTTAATAATGAAGAATTATATTATAATGAATCATGTAAAATATGTGCTGAATTATTAAAAATCATCATTCATCATTGCCTTGCCTTTATACCATTATTTGTGATCGTCGCAGTATGTCATTCTGTTCCACTGCTCTCTATCGGTCGTCATATCTGAGCACACTCTTCTTTTATTCATATCATCTTTCACACAATCCATCCATCTAAACTTTGACGACCTCGGTGGTCCAGCGGTCTAGTACACCGCTTTACGACCGATGGTCGCTGGTTCGATTCCTCGCATGGCACAAACATTTGTATTCATGAGTATGATTGTTTGTATCGGTCTGGGTGTTTTCTATATATAGTATATATGTATTTACAAAAAAAAAAAAATATCTATGTATTTGTATCAGTTATCTAGTACCCATAACACAAGTTTTAGCTAGCTTAACTTGGGTCTAGATGGCGCTGTGTGAATTGTCCTAAGATTATTATTATTATCTTTTCTTAGGGCGTCCCCTCCCTTTACATCCATCCACATTCATATTTATTCTGAATTATTAAAAATATTAACATTTAAATTAATTATGTTCTTCTTTATACTATTTATATTACAAAACATAAGTAATAAATTAAAACAACTGAAATGAAATATGTTTCATAATCTGCAGTTTCTAGATCTGTACTCATATTTTACGGGAATGAGTAAATAATTTACACGATTACTGTTTATTTCGGTGAATAAAATGCATTTAAATTAAAAGTAGAATTAATTATTCTACTTTTAATTTAAATTAATTTTATTATATAATATAATTATAACAATAGTAAGTTTTGTATCGCAGCTCCACCTCAATGGAACATTTTCTTTAAAAATATTTATAGGATATTTTCGTACAGATTATTTCGGTGAATAAAATGCATTTAAATTAAAAGTACAATAATTAATAATTATAACTAGCAAAAAATTGCGTGTTGCGCGTTTAAATAAATGTTGTTCAGCGGTTGTTTAGGATTTTGTGTGAATAGAAACAAATAGCAAAAATGATAAATGTAAATAAATGTAATAGCTGTTTGAGTAACAAATTCAGTCATAATTATCAGAGTAGACCAGTCCCTAAAATTATTAAGGCCTGAATTAGAAAATTAACTGTGGTATTCTAAATATAACCTAATTGTACAACTAAGAACCTAAATATTAGGTCTTATAAATGTTTTAAATATAAAATATTATTTCAAGACAATTCACACAGCGCCATCTAGACACAAGTTAAGCTAGCTAAAGCCTGTGTTATAGGTACTAAATACTGTTATATATACATAGATTGATGTTGATACGTACCACGGTATCTGATCCTGTATCATCGCCAGCAAAAATTTTATTTTCATTGTACAGTAGAATATAAGATTAGTAATAAGATACGATAGGTCTGGCATTATCATATTATAATAACAGTCCCTAAACATATGTAAGAATAAAAATAAAAATACATAAATATTTTATTTTGTAAATACATACACATTATGAATAGAATAGAATAGAATAGAAAATCATTTATTCAAATAAACTTACATTGAAGCACTTTTGAATAGTCATTACATTTTTTAATCTACCGCTCGTTCGGAAAGCTGTCTCATCACAAGAAGAACGAGCAAGAAACTTGCGTGTTGCTCTTTTAAATAATTTATTATTACTTTACATTTTTAAGTTTAAGTGTGTGAATACAAACCACCAATTAGCACTAATTCTATTAAATACTCAAATAGAAATAATATTGAATATATAACCAACTGGTTAAACAATTAATAAGAGGAAATCAGTCATAGTGATTAGAGCAGACCAGTCCCTACAAGCAGCACCCGTTCACGAGTATGACGGATGAGCCAGCCATCACTGCGCTCGACCATATTTTAGGGAGCCCAATGACCCGGCCCACCACGCCGCCACAAGTCTGGACATTTTAGTGAGCATGACTACTCAAAACACTAGACTACGTCAAAGCTACTTACAATTGCTATCTGATAGTTATAGTATTCACATTTTACATAAGAATGCATGCGGCAATCAATACAAAAACCGCTACGCTTTCATATTTCTAAAATCAATCACTTAAATCAAGAAAGCAATGAGAAAATTAAATTATAACGTTGTATGCTAATAAACTAGTTATTTACTTGATATGTTGTCGTCTATGAATTCGTCTATCCTGTAATAGGCTTTCTTACACAAAAATTGTTTAATATAAGATTTGAATTGCCTCTCTGTATGCACAGAAAACTCCCAGATCGACACAAACAATCATATAACACAAATATTTGTGCCGTGCGAGGAATCGAACCCGCCACGCGGAAGTAAGGCGGTGTGCTAAACGGCTAGATCACTGAGGTCTTTATCTTATAAAAAAATAACAATAATCTAAGCAATTAATAGATTCCGACCGATCAGCGAGCTCAGATTTCATAATTCCCCTTCAGTTGAAATTAAATATTTTATCGGTCCAATGATCTGGAAAAGCCAGGGTTGCGCTTTGCCCCGTTCCTGGCTTCTTGCAATGGAGCAGATATTATGAAATGTCTATCAGTAATTTCTAGTAATAAAGGTATAATAAAGTGCTCGAAATTTAGACTGTTACATCAAATCAAATCGAAAATCATCAATTTATTTTAGCCGCTTATGAACGTCAAGTTTTTGTATTCATATTTTCCCTACCGTCCAGTTCCGTATACAATTGAGAAGAATTGGTAAAAAAATGAAGTTTTTTACATTATTTTCTTACTAGCTACTCGCCCCGGCTTCGTACGGGTGTACGTGTATTATACATATAAACCATCCTCTTGAATCACTCTATCTATTTAAAAAAACCGCTACGAAATCCGTTGCGTAGTTTTAAAGATTTAAGCATACATAGGGACGGACAGCGATAGCGACTTTGTTTTATACTATGTTACATTTTATTTGATATATTTCTTTTTTTTTATTCATTGTCTTTTAGATAGTTCGTAACTGAATTTAA